CTCTCCCTATGCTTCTATATGCCACCATTACACATTACTAACTTTGTGTCTCCTCTCTCCCGTAGTGTGTCCTCTCTCTCTCCCTGTACCTTTCTACAGGTTGCCCTGGCCCTGGAGCTCTACGTCTCTGACGAGCAGTCACCAGCCACATCGACCTGATCAGTGTTTGATTGTTGTCTTGTTGCTTTTCTTCTTTTGTCTCTCCTCTATCCACTCTATCCCCGGTTGGGGTGAGTGGATAAAATTTGATTTTGTCTGCCTGCTTCTTTCTTCACAGCTCTTTGTCTGTATTTACAGCTGCTCTGTTCTGTCTATCCCTCTAACTGCACTTTTTTTTTTTCCCACCTCCAGCCATTAAGAACCCAGGAGAAATCTGTAACTCAAACCTTGAGGATAAATATTGGATTTTTGTCGGGGAACAAAGCATGAAGTTGCACACGTAACGGCAGAAAGCAGCAGTTGTGCACGCTGCAATTGTGTCCACAGTATTTTGTTTTTCTGTTGGCAAACTATTTGCATGATAGAGTTGCAAACCTGACGTTTGTTGATATAAACATACTGCAGATTATAGGAGGGATAATGTGACAACCAGCCGTGACCACGGGATGTCTTCAGGCTCTTTTTATTTAACTCTGTAAATGTCTCTTTGGCTCAAAGGTGATTACGACTTTTCTCTCTATGAACCTCGGCACTTGGCTCCTCTCTTGCGTTGTCCCCACTGAGTCAGCAGAAAAGGCTGCCGGCAGCTTTCTGGCACAATTCATACCATTAGCCATCTGGTGACACGTGTCCACGAGGCCTGAAAATAGAATGGGTTTTCCATTTTTAATAAGAACAAGATTTAGTTGATGCTGCAGTCATGTTTTAGCACAGAAATGGCCACTGTTGTGTTTTTGTACCATGGAACGTGACGCCACACTCCTGATGTTTGCTGTATGAAGCCGGGTCTGCAGGGAGAGCTCTGCTCTTCAGGGCTGCAGATCCTTCTGAAGCTGTGAAGTGAATCCAGCTGGATCATCACAGCACACACACACACACACACACACACACACACTCCATGTTTGTGTGGCTGCTCACCTGGTATCTGTGTGTGTACTTGTATGGCTGTGTTTGTAAGAATCCACTTAAGACCTTTTGGAGTGAGGTGGTTTTTGCCAGTTCCCACTCTGTCACAGGCTTGTTTGAGGGTTCAGACATGGTTTCAGGGTTTAGGTTGGGGTATAAGGGGCTAGAGAATGGTCTCTACCACCAAGTGTCCTCACAAAGATTTAAGCACACACGTGTGATTGCGTCTTCCCCTGCAGTTCTCCTACACTCCGCTCCTCCTAGCACCGTCTCTACATCGTCACTCCCCTCAGACCTCAAACTGCTGTTGCTGAGAAAACATCGGGGGATGCTGCCTGGTTGCCATGGTGACACTCCCCATGGAGGATGGGTGTGCATACGTGCATGTGGGGAGGTTTATCTTGGCAATCTTTCTTTTTTTAAACAGTGCTGGTTCTACAAACAGAAGGTGAAGAACAGACACAGCTATAAAACAAATCTGAAGCAAACTGTTTCTTTGCAGCTTGTCACGTCGTCTCTCGTTCTTTAAACAAATTAAATTGGAGGCAGTGGAAAAGGTGAAGGTGTTCTTGTCATACTACACCCTTTGTCTTGTTCTGCTCAGAGCTACCAGGTCTGTGCTTCTGATCGTTTTGCTTTTAAAATGAGACATTTGTGCAGGCTCTGTTGACTTTGTCCTGTGTTTGTTGAGACTGTGTCTTGTGTCGTCCTGTTCCTGGAAATGAGTTCGTGTCAACACTCTTCCTCCATCAGCTCTCATAGTTGCATCTTGGTGATGAGAGTTTGTGGTTTTAGTCTGACACAGTGCTAATCAGCCTCCAGCCTAAAATAACTCTCGAGCTTCTTCCTGTTGAGACTCGTGTGTGTTGTGTTGTGTACTGCAAAGAAATCCTTCTTTGGTTAATGTTTATGTTGATGAAATTAACACCGAATACACTCAATCTTTCACATTCCTCCCACAGTCCAAAGACTGGGTAGGTTGATTGGCGACTCTAAATTAGACTTCATCCGGAAGGGCATCCTGGCGTAAAACATGGCAAGTTTAGCATGTGCATCGTCAGTTGGGTGGCAACTGATGATTCACTGTGGTGACCCTTAACGGGAGTAGCTGAAAGTAGAAGAGGAAGAAAACGACACTCCATCTTTCACATGGTTAAGGTTTTATTCACTGACAAAACACACTACATTTCATTTTTCTTGTCCAGCAGTCACTTTCTAATTAGTTGGTCCCTTTAGGTTTTCTTGCTTTATTATTATTTTTAGCTTTCATGGAAGAAATTAGTATTGATAACAAAACTCTGGGCAGGTAATGTAAGGAAACATTTTGGATTTGACACTTCAGATGCAAAAACTGTGGATAAAGGTTCAAATTTACTCTATTTTTGAAAAGGTGCACATGTTGCACAAAGTGCACGTTTTACAGCAAGCATGTATGAGATAAGAGCAGCTCATGATGATGATCAGGACTGATTTCCAAAATTCTGCAGTCCCCTCATTATACCACCTCCTCCCCAACCTCTCTACTTTTCCTCTTCCTCCCCTTCTCTGCCGCCATCATCATCATCATCATCTCCTCCTCCTGGGGTCTGTTCATCTTCATTTCCTCTCATTGTTTTCTCTTTGTCTCTCCTCTTCCTCTCACGTGCTCAGCTGTGCTCACACACACCAACAGAGCTGTTTCTGGGTCATGAGGGCTTTATATGAATAATAAACAGCTGTCTGCTTTAAAGAATTATTTATAGAGCCTGGAGTGAGCAAGCAAGACTTATCCATTCTCTCTCTATCGCTCTCTTAATCTTAAACACTTCCTCTTCGCCTTTATCATCCCCTTCTCTCTCATCCTCTTCACACCACTGACTTCATCATCATTTTAATTCCTGACTTGTGCCTTCTCACTTTTCATCGATAATCCTTCTCCACCCCCACCCCATCTCTTACTGGCTCCAGGAATGTGCTTTGTGTTGCGCTGCTGTAATAGTACTAGTCACTATCATCGACCTAGATATCATTCTAGGTCTATCAGCTCAGGAAACACATTCAGCTGCATATCTGTAGAAGTATTGTTTTCAGGCGGGGGTGTGACATTGTCCTTGTATTACATCAGTGTAGGGTGTAAATCAGATTCCATCCATTATTTTTACTACTTATCCTGAAGAGGGTCATGGGGGTGGGGTACACCCGGACAGGTGGCCAGTCTATCACAGGCCTGATATAGAGACAGACGCACTTTTCACACCAATGGGAAACTTGGAGTCGCCAGTCAACCCAACCTGCATACCTCTGGACAGTGGGAGGAAGCCGGAGCACCTAGAGGAAACCCAGGCAGGCACAGGGAGAACATGCAGACTCCACACAGGAAGGCCCCGGTCAGACGCCAGGTTCTAACTCACAACCTTCCTGCAGAAAGTCACCCATAGCAGTGCAAAAACAACCTACAGTATAGCAATGTCACCACCATGCAGTACTGTATATCTGTCATGTCTGGCCAGTCATGCATGTAAACGGAAACTGGACTGGGTTTGGTGGAGACATGCAACCAGGAGGCAGTAATTCTAGTTTGGTTTTTAAATTTAGATTATTCTTTAATTTTGAGATAGAAGATATTAATTGAAATGTACCAAAATAAACAAAGTAAATATAGGCCTACAATATGAAGCTTGTACAACTACAGAGCAATAGGGCTGCTGTGGTGAGTTTAAGTAGAGCTCAGTGAGGCTGGGCTACATCACAGAATAAACTCTGTACAACATGGTACAGGTGAAGAGCAGCACAAACTCAAGCCTCCACAGTGATCGACAGTGGGGAAACAGATTGAACCACGTAGCTGATTTTAGGAACGTTAAAGAGCAGCGAATGCAGAGTCTGGCATAAAGAGAGAGAGAGTGACTGTGCAGAAACAGACAGGATGGAGGGAGGATATGTGAGGCCTGAATACAGCTGAGACAGCATTAGGTCATCTGTACTGAGACCGACTTATCTCCAGCGTGTGCACATGCACGCCCACAGTCTTAACATGACACACTAACAGCACACAGGCATCTGCAGAGGTACATGTAGCTGTGTGGAAGACACGGTTTATGCAGCAGTGGAAAAAGTACTTTACCTTTTCTAAATAAGTACAAGTTGCAATACCACTGTGTGAAAATACTCCAGCTACAGGTAAAAGTTCTGCATTCAAAATGTTAAGTAAAGGTATTGCCATCAAAATATACAGTATGTAGTAAAAGTAAAAAAAAATTGTGTAGATCCCCCTTGTTCCTTCATTCATTTTGTCATTTACCACATTAGATGGACTGTTCGGATTGTTGAACTGTGGGGATGTAAAATAATGTATTACTGCTGCTAATTATGGTGACTGACTCCTAAGCCAGTTATTTTCATGATTCATTTGTCTATTAAAAATCAGACATTAGTGCAACATGCTCTTCTTCCCGTTCAAGTCGGGGGTGATAGTTTTGTCTGACCAAAGTGAGAAAAGCAGTGAATCCATAAATTTGAGAAGCTGAAGTCTGATGATGTCAGTGTATAAAAAAAAAAAAAAAAAAAACACAATTCATTAGTAAAATCTTTACTGATTAATTTCTGCCTGTTGACTGATTATGGAGCTAATTGTTTCAGCTCTGCTGTAAGTCAGTGTGAATAGTGGTCAGATTTGCCGCCTGCTTCCTCTGCATCTCCAAACAGGAAGCACGTGACTGTAGTGTTGATAAAGGTGAAACTGTTTGTTCTGACTCGCACACTGTCCTTCTGTCTCACAGGGCCTTGTACACATACGAGGATGAGAGTAATGACTTGACACTGGCAGCGTCAGGAGGTACGTCGCACCAGTTCTTCCTTTTCCTTTCTAATCTCCCCCCCATATATAGTCATGTTAACATCATGCTGGCGATGACTAAGTTGCATCTGCAGCTCTGAGGAGCTCTGCTGCAGAAACATGTTGTTTGTCTCCTGGTTGGGACTGAGCCATCACAGCGATGGATCCATTATTAGTACAGTTAATGACACTTGGCGAGATCATTAGTTTAATGAGACTACTGCATTTGATGTAAAGACACTCACATGCACACGCACAGTGTGTAAAATGTTTTACTCCAAACTGCCATAATTGGTATGTGTAATGTGAATGGATGCACACAAGCTGAGTCGATGCTTAAAGCTTGCATGACATCATTTCTCTGTATCTGTTAAAGATGGTTTTGACCTGAGTGTAAATGTCGCCTCAGGGCTTCATCCAAAGTGGGAGCAGAAATAATTTGGCAGATATTTATCTGACCCATAGGGGGAATTCCAGTTCTCTTTATTGCATCCATGTTTCCCTCACTTGTGACATTACCTTACCTGAGTCCTGCTAATGTAAGATGTGAGGAAAAGATGCAAGGAGAGAGGAGCAGAGGAAGCAAATTTTAAGAGACGTGAGACGTCCTTCGTCTGAAGCATCCAATCACCAGCTGATTTCCAAAAAAGGTCCGTGTCAGTCCATAAAAGACTTGTGTGAAGGATGTTCCCATGTGTCCCCACTCATGGCTCCAGTAGTCTCCTCGCTCCATCCATCAAAATGGCGGACTAGACAAACTACCGGGTCGAGCGAGTATTGAGAAGTGAGGAACTTCTGTATCAGTTAAGGGAGCAGGGATATACCCATAGATTGTATATAAAGGTGGGCAACATGACAGTTCTCGGTAGTGAAGGCTTTTGGCTTCCCTTTTACAAACTGGTTGAAGTGGCCATCCATCTTTATAAACAATCCGTGGTCTCAGCAGTTGGTGTGCAAACTGTTCAACGCACTAGCTATGTGTACTTCAGTGAAGTGTCTGCATCATTCATGCTGAGGAGATGTACGGTAGAGACACATCTGCCGGCAGTGGTCTTCATTTCCTTCAAGTCAGCGGCTCTTCCTCAGAGAGATGTGAATATTTCAGCAGCAGCACAGAGGAAACTATTGTTCTGCACTGTGAACCTCGGAGAGCTCGGGCTGCCTCTCCAGATCAGAACCAGCAGACCACAGCCATGTTTGTACGTGTGTGGTGGTAAGTGGCGTATGAGACTAGACTGAGAACAGAATAATCCGGTCTCCTGTTTCTCATGAAATCACTCCTAACTGTTCAATCCTTCTCAGAGTGACACATTTGTCCTTTTAGGAATAAACGCAGCTCATCAAATATTCCCAACTCAGGAAATCACTCCCATCTCCACCAAAATGTAGGAGCGCTCCAGAGGAGTCCTGCCGGTCAGGACCTGCCTTCAGACAGAGACAAGGACACAGACTCCATGGGAGGAATGTTTGACATTCAGAGCTCATTAAAAGATAGTTTGACCTTAATGGAACAGGTCTTGTGCAGCTCCACTGATAATGCACAGCTTTGTTCATTCTGACACCAGTCAGTGTGAATCAACGAAAAACCAGCTACAAATACACAAGTCGCCGATTCCCTTGGACGTGTTGGAGTCATCGAAGTCCGTCACGCATTAAAGTCATTGCCCCAAGCATCAATCAGGACATTGGTTTGAATCAGAATGTTCTCTCCACCTCAAGTGGTAGTGAACTACTGGATCCACACACGACTCGGGTCAAAGTGGACTAAAGCTTTTATTTGAAAATACTCATAATCCTTCTGGATACACAGCTTTATCACAGGGATTTAGAAAAAAAAATGTGATTGGATAGTGCTGATGAAAGTAATTTTACACAGGTGAGTCTCTTTAAGAGCGACTGTCCATTAAACTTGGTTTATTTCAGAAAGAGACCTGGTATAAAGCACATTACCTCAGAATTTAATGAAAGTTTTATCCCGTTATTAGTTGCTTCTTTAACTTCCTGCTTCTTTTACCTGTTTCACTCTGCGGCTCCAAAGTCCAGTCCCTCCCTGATGGAGGAGGCCAAGCAGAAACACTGAAACCAGACTGTGCTGTAGAATGACAGGGTCTCTTGTTCTCTGGTGCAGGAGGTGGCCTGGCAGAGATCACACTGACCTTTGACAGCGCCAGGGTGATGTATGGCTTCTGCAGCCTGAAGGAGCCCACCGCCGCTCTGCCACGATACATCCTCATCAACTGGGTGAGTCGCTGGGTCAGAGGGGAGACCAGAGGGGAGGGGTGGAGCACCACACACAGCGGCGCGTTCCTGAGGGTACAGAGGGAGGATATCGGAGTTGTCACGGGTCACTGCACAGTTTTAATTTGGCGGTTTATTTAACGTGGACACAGTGTGTCGCTGATGTGAGGGACCTGAGTCCAGGTTCACTCTACATCAACCAGTGGCCGCTGCAGCCTCAGCAGCTTCGCGCCTGGAGAAAGAGTAACAGCAGCCGCAGATACAGACATGCTGACGTTAGTCGACCTGCACGTTCTCAAATGCTGATACTGTATTGAGAACCTTTTGGTGTCCTTGTGATTAAACCCAACCATGTCCTAACATGAACTTTATCCCTTCATGTACTGCGTCACCATAAATGCACGACCGGTCCTGTTGTTCAGCAGCCACATTACAGAAACTTCCTATCTGAAGTCATAAGATAGGATGAGTCGGAGACTGGATTTTTCCCACTTTGGCATTATGGAAGCAAATGCTAACTAAGGGAATCTTATCTTCTATCAGGTTGGGGAGTCCTAAATACTCGTCCAACATCGGTTATCAACTTTGATGTCTGTTACCTAGCAACCAGTTCTCATCTTGCCAAGCAATTTTTTTAAATCTTATTTTAAATTTATTTTTATTGCAGCACAAAATAGAACATTAACAGGACAGAGCATGGAAGACAAGATGAGAGATGCAGGGCATTTACAAAAATGTCATAGGGGGTTTTGCTTTCGGTTTGTCTGTGTGAGGGTGTGTAGTGTGGGTGTGTTCAACTTTATGCATATGTGTATTAAAAAGGGAGCGAGTGGCGAGTAATAAAACAAAATTAGAGAAAAAATGTTGCCCACTTCACTTAGGAAATTACTTTTAGTAAATAAACGAAGGGCATTTATTAGTTGCACCACAACAGTGAGAACCCCAGGTCAGTGGATTGACCTCTTCACAACTAATGAACATGCTGTTGTCGTAAGGGATAGCCACAAGTCTCTCAATTAATAATTTAATCTTTTAATCACTTTTATGATACACACACATATGCACAAGGAAGTTGTCTCAGGCACAGAACCGAGGCCGCCGTCTGCTGCGCCAGCTCGCGCGCACACACCAATGGCGGTGCTGCCCTGGCCATGGGGAGCAGTTCAGCTTGTGGACTGGGGAGAACAGGAATCAAACAGCCATAGGCTATGGGTTCAACAGGCTAACACTACAGATTGCGGTGGAGAAGTGAAAGTTAGGACAGATCAGCTTTAGTGGAGTCGAGTCACCGCATGTAACAAAGCCGAGACAGTTTTTCCACCATTTCATTCATGATGGAAATGAAATCTAACAGGAGGAGATGAATAATTTGTGTAGTGTGAGCTGTTCGCACTGAGTCTCCTCCACCACGGAGATACAAGTGCATTTCAACAGTCTGAAGATGAGTGTTTAACTTCTGAACCTGATGACAGCAGGCACCCAGAGTGCAGAGAGGAGGCCTGAATGGAAAAACCCATCTCCAGAAATACATGCTGTAAACTGCTGATTTGTGTCACTTTTTTAATGGAGAGGTGAGAGAAGTGCATCTTCCATCTTTAAAACTCTGTACCGCTGCTATAAGAGCCTTGTGTAGATTTGTTCAGTAGCAGCGTTTCGTGACCTGTCGGTTATGTTCATTAAAAACATGTTCTCACTGTGTCGATAAAACCTGTAATCCAGGCAGCCTTCTCCTTCAAGGCCTGTTCTCCTGTTGCAGAAATGTCATGTTTAGGAGACAGGCCTGAATGGACAAATGATAAAAAGCATTGGAATACATCTGGTAAATGTAATGAATAGAGACTTGGAGGCAGAAAGACATTTGGTGATTAAATGAGACTGGGAGCAGAGCCTGCAGACTTCACCAGCAAAAGGGCAATAGAGAGGACCAAAGATACACAAAAATGTCCTAAAATAGAGAAAAGAACTCCTGAAAGCATTGCATTGAAGCTGCATCTCTTCCTCCGTCTCCCACTCACACTACACAGTAAATGAAGCAGTTCAGTTTTGTCATTGAGAGATAAACTGCCATGAATTCAAATGAGATGGGACCATTTTCTTGTTTCTTTCTTTCTGTAATTGGTGCTTATTGTGTTTGCATTGTGTTGGTTCGAATGAACTGTGATTACTGAATCCCATCCAGCCTGTTATCATACTGTGAACATGACCACGGCTGAACAAAGGCCCTAATGAGACCACAGTGAATTTGAGCATTTAGTAAAAGAAGGACTTTTTGATTTAAAGATTGTGGTCACCGTGTCTCCTCTTTGGTTCCCTCTCCTGATTCCCTTCCCTACTTTTAGTTCAATAACCCACTTTTCCTCCTCTCAGGTCGGGGAAGACGTGCCGGATGCCAGGAAGTGTGCCTGTGCCAGCCATGTGGCCACCATTGCAGACTTCTTCCAGGTCAGACCCACCACGGTGCTTTTACAATCCTAAACGGCAACATAAAACAACCCAGGCCAAGTCTCTTCAGACTTCTGCAGTACCCCTAGTGTTCCACACGGTGGCTCAGTGGCAGAGAATACAGTCTATAGAGCGCCTGTAAAAACTGCCAAGACGCTGTAAGGAAGCTTCACCAGCCAGGGAAGTATTGACTGTACTTTGACAACTCAGGGTAGAGAAGCTGGAATAATAGCAGCAGGGCTGTAGGCAGCAGAGGGTCATGGAGGGGGGTGTAGTTACCGTAGCCTGTTTTTACAGTAGTTAATGCACCTTGAACTCTCTTAAAAACAGATCAGGTGAGCTCAGAGCAAATGTAAATTGCTCCAGTTTCTGTAAATTGTGTCACAGTCCAAGTGGTTGATTCTGCTCCACCAGGTCTGTGTGGAAAGCGAAACCTCGGCACATTAAACCTGTAGGAGGATCAAGCAGGAACGAGAGTGTGCATGACTAACACCACCTCTTTTAAACTAATCTCAGTGCTGACGGTGCTCTCACCCACTGAGTGTGTGTGTGTACTCACACCTGGCTGAGTGTGTATTTTTGGATTTGCAGAGTAGATAAAAAGATCAAGATTAAAGCAGAGGTGACATTTTTTCATTACAGCCAGAGTGTGTGTGTGTGTGTGTGTGTGTGTGTGTGTGTGTGTGTGTGTGTGTGTGTGTGTGTGTGTGTGTGTGTGTTGAAGTGTCATTATTGTAAGTGGCAGTTTTATCTCCCACACAGCCTCGACTTCATCGCACCGACAGGGCGTTCAGTGGCCCTCTGTGGAACAGTGCGCACACAATCCCACAAGTCAACAGCCAATTATATGAGCACTCATCAGCAAATCGTGACCTTGAATTATTATTTTTATTGTTTCTGTCTGCACTCGGATTGGTTGTGAGATATTTTAAATAACTAATATAAGTAGATCATTTTTATTTGTCCAAACATCAGCCACCTGAAGTCACTGTAAATAACATTGGATGTCAAGACCACTTTTTTATGGGTTTTTTTTAGAAGAGGAGTTTTGCAGAGACAACCTTTTTAGCTCATTTGTAATGATGGGTTTCTATGTGCTCAGACAGGATTAAAAAAAATAAGGATTTTCTTGAAAAAGTACACAGTTGATGACTTAATGAAGTTATGATGGAAGAGATTTGGGAGCAGATGACAGTTCAGCATCAGGCTTCAATTCAGACATGAAAACCTTTCACAGACAGTACAGGCTGTGAAGTTTGACTAAAAACACAATGCCATGCAAAAAAAAAATCTTTTAAACCTTCTCTGCGTCTATCCCAGGGGGTGGAGATCACCGTCAATGCCAGCAGTCTGGACGACATCGACCCCTCCGCCATTGGACAGCGACTGACCAATGGGACGGTGGGGGTGGCAAGTCCGGTCCTGAGCCGTCTGAGAACCCGAGAAGAGGAGCACGGAGATGTGGTACAGTATAAACGCAGTCTGTAACACACGGTGCTTCACAACCTGCTGTGTAGCCACAAGCTAGAAACCCAACTTTCTATTCTTTCTTTCTTGTGATGTCTCTCGACCCTCCCTCTCTCTCTCTGCTGATGCAGGGCACGGTGTACGAGAAAACCAACGCAGAGGTGGAGATGAAGAAGATCAACAGAGAGGAGTTTTGGGAGCAGGCCAAGGTAGGTGTGATGACATGGACGGGCTGGGAGACTGTGGGCACAGACCGAGGAGAAATGACAGCAAACGACACAGCAGGGGCCACTTTTTTTTCTCTGTTTGCACTCAGTGTGTGTCTTTTGTTTTGCCTGTAGTATTTGTGTGAGTCTCTGTGGATGCTTTGCATTTGTTGGTGGTCAGTTTGAGGGTCTTTGCAGTGTTTCTGTGGCTGTGCGTGGTTGTTAGCATCTCTTTGTGGCTACTGATTACCAACAGAAAATGTTAACAAGAATATTTCAGCTTAAATGTCTCTTGTTTCTCTCTTTGTTCTCCAGCGTGAGGAGGAGTTGAGGAAGGAGGAAGAGAGGAGGAAGGTAGTAGAGGAGCGGCAGCGCTTTGAGGAGGAGCGAATGGAGCTGGAGAGGAAGGAGCAGGAGAACCGAGAGAAGAGGTACCGCGAGAGGGAGCAGCAGATTGAGGAGCACAGGTGAGGAGGACACACAAACATCTAATATCAAACCTCTGATTCAGGAGCATCTGCAAGGTGTTCCCGCACAAACTTGGAACCTGTTTCATGAGGCACCACTCGCAGGCAAACCACAGATGGTGGCGTAACGTCTCAGAGGCTTTGCTCATAAACTACAGGTGGATCTGTGCCGGGCTCGCGTCTGCTCATCCTGCAGGATGATGTTTGTTTTGATTCAAACATGGCTAAATTAACAAGAGAGGAAACAATCTGCCCCTGACTGTTGAACCAAGATGCCCCAGAAGCAGAAATGACATGTTTATTTAAGTCATTTATGTTTATTTTGTTTAGGTCTATTAGTCATTGCTTTACTTTAGATTGAACATGAGTTTAAGAGGAACGTCTGCCTCAAGCAGCAACAGCTACCTTCTCTAGTTTGAACATGAAAAGCAAGTTAAAGCCTGCATTTTGCACATTAGGCTTCATATTCAGACTGAACAACTTCCAGGTGAAGTGGCTCGGGCATCTGATCAGGATGTCTCCTGGGCATGTCCGAGTGATAAGAAGCCTCAGGGTAGACCCAGATCATGCTGGAGGGATTATAAGCCTAGCCAATGCCTCAAGGTTCCACAGGAGGAGCTGGAGGACGCTGCTGGGGAGAGGGAGGTCTGGGCAACCCCGCCGGACCTGCTCCCGAGATGAGCGATGGATGATGAATGGCAGTGGACAGAAAATTTTTAGGGCTCAGCTGAACTGAGAGTGGTAGAAGACCTCAGGTTTTTTGAGCGTTTGTTTAAAACACATGGAACTTTAAAAACTGAACAATGTGTCTCTGTAGTTTGACCCTGAATGTGATAAGCAGAAATGTGTTTTGGCCCTAAACTATCCAGTGCTCTATGAACCAACAGAAGCCAGAGCAAAAACCTGAGAGCTGGACTGATGTGGACCCTGTCCTGGTCTTTGTGAGTCAGATGAAGCCTGGTTAGATCATGTGGCTGCCACTGATCACACACAGCTGACTCTGGTGTTGTACAGGTCTCGGTGTGGTCCATGAAGCTTTATCTGGTGTGTGTGTGTGTGTGTGTGTGTGTGTGAGCACAGGAAGAAGATGCAGGAGGAGGAAGAGGCCAGAGAGAGGTTGCGGAACCAGACCACCATAGTAAGTGTCTGTGTTTTCTGTTTTCAGTGAAATCAGTGATTATGATTCTGCTGCTCATGAATCTAATGACCATGTTAAAATCAACTCACCAGCAGTGATTTTATGTCCCTTGGATTAAAATCACTGTTATACTCTACAGCAGTAAATGAACTGGCACATCTGAACCTCCTGGTCCTGTGTGTGACAGTTTTTCTGCTTCTGCGCCATCTATCACAGCATCACTTCCCTTCCCAAACAGCTGCAAAGGCCTCTGGGATTTTGTGCCAGAAGTGCGCTGAGACACAGAAGTGAAACTGCTTTATCTGACAGTGCAGTTTGTTTTAGAAGAGAGTGATTATATGCAGGCTGTGCTTTACAAAAACGTACCCTGTGGCAGTGAGTGTGTCAGACAGAACCACCAGCACTTCTTACAATCAGCTGCCTGCTGAGTCGTCTCACAGCTAATTTTTGAAGATTGTAAATTCAGGCTAGTCTCCTTGTCCAGAGATCGGGTCTTCGGGGCCCCTGCCTTTGACTGCTGCCCAATCCACTGTGCACCGGCCCCTTACGGATCCTCCTGCAGGTGATGGGCCCACAGGAGGACGTCCACACGTCGCTCGTTCGGGCTAAGCCCGGCCAGGCCCCGTAAGAGGAGGCCCGGCCACCAGGCGCTCGCAATTGAGCCCCAACCCCGGGCCTGGCTCCAGGGTGGGGCCCCGGCTGCGCCATGCCGGGCGACGTCGCGGTCCTTGATTTTAATCTATTCATAAAGGGACTTTATTATGTTGATTCTTGGTTTGTTTGTTTATTTATTTTGCCATTGAAATAGGCCATCACTTCTCAAAATAACTTCATGACTTTAATACTTTGTCTAGATCTACATTACATAAATCAATTTTGTCCTGTATTGTTAAATGTTAGAATATCAAATTTAATCAAAAGACTGTATGACATGCTGGAGGGACCATGTCTCTCGGCTGGCCTGGGAACGCCTCAGCATTCTCCCGGAGGAGCTGGAGGAAGTGTCTGGAGAGAGGGAAGTCTGGGCATCTTTGCTTAGACTGCTGCCACCGCGACCCGGTCCCGGATAAGTGGAGGAAAATGGATGGATGGATGGATGTAAATTCAGGAGTTTATACTCATCCACTGGCCTTACTCTAGGATGTTGAGGCGGCGTTCAAGCCTTACTCTAGGATGTTGAGGCGGCGTTTGTTACTGATGGTAGTGTCTAGTTATTGTCCTCATGGTGCTGCAACGATGGAGTGTAATTGATACGACACACCCCTCTTCCTGTTTGATGAAACATGGAGGGATGTTGGTCCAAAGCATCAGATTCATATGAAACTATGTTTGCATTAACTGGGTGATGCTTAAATTACACATTTGCAAAAGCTTTTATACTCTTTGAGGCCTACTGACAGCTGCTGGGTTTACAGGAAAGATTCCGCTGAAAGCACACAAACAATTATACTGCTAAGATATATTAATGCTTTTTAGAGAAACAGGATCAGTGCTGGATGACCCCTGAGGTCTAAACTACTTAAACCCTTTAAAACGTGAGCTCAGCACTTCTCTCTGCCTTTTTGCTGGTGGAGCTGTGTCTGGTGAACTAACGGTCTGTGGCGCCCCCTGCTGGTGGTCACGTGTCATCTCCACCATCTGTCAGTGAGCTGCTGATTCCTCACAGCATCTGAACAAGGATTCCTTTTCTGTTCTGGATTCTAGATTATGTTATGTTTTATTTATGGATCGCAGTAAAATCCAAAGAATAACATGGTGAAATGAAAACACTTCATTCCAACATTGTCCCCAGATGTTACAAGTCAAGAGACAAAAACACATTCATAAAACCAAATAATTCAACAATAACAATCTGCCGAGGCTTATTTATACATTAGTAACCCTACTCCATAAAAAGGTCTTCACCTGATTTGAAAACTCGGTGATAACTGCGTGTTTAAAAAGTGCCGTTCCACCACAAGATACCAGCGTAAAAGGAGCTTCTGGCAACAGTATTTACTCAAGAGCACACACTGCAGCTGTGATGACAATGAACTGTTATTATTTGGGAGTCCAGATACCGGGGAGACGATACTGTACCTATGATGGAGATTTAGCTGTTCCACTCTGAGATTTGCTGGCAGAAACCCAGTTTGTAAATGTGTTCAAAGCAGACACAAGATTCTTTCTTCCAAAAAGTCAAAGCAAGAACTTAAGCTTTTAGAAAATACTTCAGCCGTCACATATTCACTGGACAAAGACTCGTCTAATGTGTTTCCTAAATAGGAGACGTGTCTGAGACATAATTTCACTTCCATTATAACAGACCTTTATCGTATTACTGTATTTCTTGGCAGCTCTCCCAAATGTGGAGAGCTTCTAATCTAAAAGCTGTTCTCTCACTCGTACCAGTTCATTTTCTGAGCATATTCTGATTTTCAGTGACATTGCTACCATTGTATTCTGTTTTATACATGCAAATTTGTGAGTGCAAGTTTAACTATATACATAAATCACTTTGTGACCCTGGTTTTGAATGGTGCTACAGTATATAAATAAAATGTTCCTTATTCTCTTAATCATGTACATGTGTTTCACTACACCTGAATGAGTGTCTTATTCCACAGTTTAGGTTTGAATCCTAAGATTATTTAAGTATTTTCTCCTTCAATTGCATCTTGGTCTCGGTTCCTCTCTGCAGGCGTCAGAGCTGAGCATCGACGACCTCAACCTGGACAAGAAGGAGTCTGAGGTGGAGGTGAGTCTGACCAAAGGACAGGAAGAATTCAAGTCATGAATATGAGGATGGATACCAGGGTCACAGGCCACCACAGTACACCTATTAAAATGTTTTAATTTGCTATTTTGGATCATCAGTATTTTATAATCGGTATTTTACTGACTTTATTGAGTCAATCTGGTCATTACAACAATTTTAAAAAAGTATTTAGTGTTACTCTGAGACTGTCAACTTTATTCTAATTATTGATAAAAACGGCTCAGGCCTGGATGTTTTTGCTCAGTCATAGAAACGTGAAGATCAGAAAGTCGACCGCTCTGTAGTAGTTTATCAATGTCTGTGTGTCCAGGAGGCGAAGGCCATCATCGCTCAGCGCTCAGGAAACCCTCGGGAGTTTTTCAAGCAGAAGGAGAGAGCCATGACCATCAGTGTGGACACCTCACCTGCCTCTGTCCACAGGACCGGTAAACGCTTCAGCACTCACCTGACAATGATCCGCTAGGTTCTGGTTATTATCCTGTAAAACACCAAAGACAAAAAAGAGCAGAACAGTCGGTGTACAAGGCTTCACGAAGACCAGGTAACAGCTGAAAGAGTAGAGAGGACTTCAAGAAGGAAATAGATTCAACTAGCTGTATAATCTGAGGATTTCATCCATGAAGAGACAAATACTAATGTATCATTTATTCCTGTGATTCTTGTAGTAAACAAGGATCGTCAACTAAGGTACCAAAGTACTTTCCAGGTTCACCTACATGTGGCGCGATGTCAGTGTTGCACCTTCTCCTTTTTGACTCCTAAGTCCATATAAATATAAACTGTGACACAAACAAGTCTTTGTAAATCAAACAACTCCTGTTTTTAGCCGACAGGGTTTCAGGGCTCGAGGCTGCCAAGCACACGGCCTCGCCCTCGTGTCCTGGGGCGACAGTCGTCAAATCCAACACCGTCATGTTCTTCTTCAGCTGCTGCTTCTGTAGAACCAGAAGTCAAACATTTCAGAGATGCTCATTTGTCGCAGGAGGTCTGAGACAAAGAGCAAGGGGCTCTGACAACATTCGGATCTTTTCTTCTTGAAGCACTTGGAGGAGCTCATAGTGTGAAGCCACCAGATGGACCCTCCTTACTGTCTCTCAGCTGCTGCTCAACGTGATACAATTCAAACCTGCGCGTTCACATTGTCGTGTGTTGTTTGTCTGCAGCTTTGCTGTTTGTCATGACCTTACTTAAAGCAGAGATTCATAATCTCTGGCAAATGTGTATTGTCCATTGGGAATATGGAGAAGCCACCCCACGCTTTCCAGAAGATGGCAGTCACCCAGTCTCTGCACCCGTGTCCTCTGCCTGTCCAGCCACCACAATCCAGAGAGAAGAGTAAAGTTGTGCCAGAGATCTGCTTTCTGTTCTATAGCAGCTGCGTTAAAGCTCCACTACCTGCTGTCTTTTCAGGCCAGAGGGTCTAGTGAGACTCAAAACAAACACCAAACACCATCAGCTGCTCTCTGCCCCTCCCACCACGTCCTGTCTCCTAGCAACAACACAAACTTCGGATGCCTGGTTGGGACAAACTGGAGAAAACGCAGTCTGTAGCTAGCTAAATGGTTTAGTTTTTCCTGGTATGTAAACGTTATATTACGGTTTAGAGAGGAAGAAACAGGAGCTAGACAAACTCCGTGCACGGCTGTCTGAATAAAGCCACACTAACAACTGTTCTTTCTCTCCCTCCTCCTTCTTTTTTCTATATTTCTGTCTCTTCACCTTCTGGGTTTTCTATTCATCTGACCCCACGTGTTCACCATCCTCACTCCTCCTTTCCTCCCACTCACTCGCTCCACTCTGTCATCTTTGATCTCTGATTTTGTCCCACAATCCTCTCTGGCTCTTACTGTCCTGTGGGGCCTGAGTCTTCCCTCTCTCCCTCCCTCCCTTGGTTCTTTTTTTATTTTGTCCGTCTTGTCATCGTCCCCACATCTCTCTGTCCTGCCACGTGGCTTTGTGTCCTTGTCGTGCGTATGTGTATGCTTGTATCTTTGTGTTTGGGTGTGTGTGGCTGCGGTGTGTCGTCCTGACTGCCAGGCCGTTTGGACAGCCCGTTCTTGAGGCAGCAGCACAGCCCCAGTCCGGCTCCCCTGCCCCGGGGCGCGTCGCCCCTCCGCCCCCTGCCACAATCACAGACGCAAAAATAGGTACAGCCCGTAACCGATAAACAGCAGAAGAAGAAACAATAAAGACACCAGCAGCCGAGAACTTCACCTGAGACGTACTAAGAAATCCCCTTCAGCAAATATGGAGGATTAACTGAAACTAAGAGGATGAAAATGTGAGCAATTAAACACTCTTACCTTCACATGCACACTAATATCCCAGTTTTGAGTCTTATTCTAGGTTTGCTCATAGTGCTGACATCACACTGACACCAAACACACCAAACTCGCTGTTGGTCTTCTCATTATTCCCCCTGTGAACATGAGTCTTACATTTGACTGTGTGTCTTTCACTGCTTGAAATCTAACCAAAGTTAAAAAAAAGAAACCTGGAGATGATGATTAGTTGCCATTTGGTTTCTGTTGGAGCACTCTGACTCTAAGGACAGAGGGTGTTGTATGCTTTGTGTGATCCTGAGCTGCCCAAATAAAATGTGACTTGAATTGGCACAGCAGCTTAACCCATGTAGACACTGTACAGATTAAACCTTAGCCTGAAATAGTTTTCAAATTGGACTGTTCTCTCAGATCATATTTTTGAATAAACATGGCCCACAAATTGGTTAGGTAGCCTCAGAGATCACCAATTTAATGTCTGCATCATGGACTTAAACATAAAAAGCAGCTTTCATAAGGGTTAAATGAGCTGTTTACAACAACTTTGTGCAGTTTCTTGGTTTAGACAGAAATGTTGTGATATGAGGTCTTAACCAGGTCAGTGAAACCAAGATATGGTCTTTACATGCACAAACAGTGAACCAGTAAACTCCACAGTCCCCATCAAACTGGGATGCTAGTGTGCAGGTGAACCTCCAGATACTCAGGAGTGAGTCTGTAACATTTACACTTTGAATTTCAGACAAGCCTAAACAAAAGCCACTTTAACCTTGACAAGTATTTTGGTTATTCAGGAATCGGTGACTGTGCTGAACTGGCAGTGAGACGTCGTCCACACTTCAGAGACAGACTTGATACTTTTGAAGAGCTAGAAACAGAAGAGACTAGATTATTTTGTTTTCTGCACAAATCAACACTGAAAAAAGTGCTGATTAAAATAGAATCAATTGGAAATTGATGCCCCATCTGTCTTGCGTGACAGTGCTAATGTTCATCATCCACCCCAATCAGCGCACACACACACATGCATTAAAATCACTTCTCCACCTCCAGCTGAATCCAACCCCCAACGTCTCCCTCCTCCCCTCTGAGCCACAGAGCTTGACCCTGTCCACAAACCTTTAAACCCAGCAGTGACCACACTGTTGCACTGGGCAACATGTTCCTCCACCACCATGAACACACACACTGGAGTTTATTCAGACTTGGTCCCACATACATCGTCCTGATGCTCACTGGAGACCAGATGTGGATTCATCCGCTGCAGTAAATAGTCCCCAACAGATGCACAGTTTCCCCATTTGTTTGAAGAAACCTACAATACCAAGTAACAGCAGGTACTTTAGCAATAGAAAATAGTGAAAACTGGCCTCTGTTATTAATAAAAGGACCTTTGCATATATTTTTAGCATGAATGCTAGCAGTGTCCGTAATGCATTTTACCATCATCATCATATTTTTCCTATTTTGAAACTAAAAACTTTGTGTAATCTCTATTACAACCTCTTTCAACCTTCCTTGCTAATAACGTAACATGCTAACACATTAGCATATATAAATATTCCTCATGGCTGCACACCATGAAGCTATTTGTCGGTTTGTCTGTCGTCCCCTCAGCGTTCGTTTTAGATGTCATCCAGTCGGCTGCTGGTGTTAAATCATTTTTGTGAATGTTTCAGTTTTCTCTGGTGTTTCTACTAAAAATATCTGTGGTTCTGTCAGGGACAGAGCCGAAACTTTTAACTACACAGTCTCACCTTGCTCCTCTTCTGATCTTCAATCTCACGCTTCTGGACTGTATCGACTCTGCACGTGCACACACACACACACAAACACTCCTGTTGATTTCAATTCTGGTGATATGACCAACTTGTGGGTGTTTGTGTCATTGAGCTGCTGTTTGTTGGCCTGTATTTCCTGAATATGGACCTTTATTGTGCCTCCTCTCTGGAGTTGGCTGTTGCTCAGTGTAAAGGCCATAATGTGTGTGTTTTAGCCCATTAACTAGCTGTAGCTGACAGACTGATGCTGACCAGTTTCTTACCTCCTACATCTGTTTCTGAAGTTCACCTCTAAATGCTCCAGTATACAGAAGGGTGCCAACAGTTCTCAAAGCTGGTTTTTAATATCAGGCAAAGATCAACTTGCAGCAGGTCCTTTCAAATTAATAGCACCAATGTCTTTCTCTTCAGAATAAGGTTGTCTGTCCCTTAGGGTTTGAAGCGCCACGTGAAGAATCTGCCCAGTGAAGGCCCTGCAGAGCTGGGTGTGGTTGTCGCACAGCACAACATTTCTCTTCATTCACAGTGACACTGTTGTTCTTCATCTGCAGTTTGTTGTGAGTACGTCTCTGGGACATCTTGTTCTGTTGTCTGAACAGGACGTCTGGCTTCATCACTCATGGAAAATCTGAGAGAGTGACATTTTCACTGTAGTGGTTGTTGATTGTGATGAGCTGTATTCCTGTGAGGGTGTGTGTGTGTGTGTGTGTGTTGGTGTACACAGCTGTCTGTGGATTCTTGTTACTGTTTTATGATTTGCCTGAGTGTGGTGATTATGTCTCAGGCTGAGTAATGGCTTGTTGAACTACGCCACAGTGCTGATTTACCTAATCTCTCCTGAAAAGCAGCAGCTTACTCACATTTGCAATTCAACACATTCATGGAGTTGGTCTGACACAACCTATTAGCTCCAAGCCCGTCCACAGGGAGTCTACTTGGCCCTGGTGCTTCTTGTTTCCTTAGTGGGGACAACACAGACCTCTGAGTTGCTGGACAGTGTCTGAGATGTGGGCGCCTGGAAACAGACTCTGTGACTGTATCATTGTTTGTCGAGCTTGTCACAGCAAAAGTGGTGATTGCTGCAAGGTTGTGCACGATTTAATGTGCAGAAGTAACACAGCACTAGAAAAACATTTCAATGATCAGACACCTCCACGGCGTTAAACAGTCTGTTCATCACCCTGTTAACTGATGCAGACTCTGAAATCAGACATTCAAACATGTTGGCACATTGGAGCTTCGTCTGTTAAGTTGAACACACCTGGTTCCTGTAGGGGGATTTTTGTGATGTAACATCTCCTGCACTCTTCCTTTGTGATAGTTTGGTATTGTGCCTCCAGGAGACGACGACGACGACGAGGAAGCAAGCACAGAGTGCAACGTGGCCGCCGTGTCACCCATTCCTAAAATAGTCACTACACCCATCAAAGAAGACTTCAGCAGGGATGAGGAGGAGGAGGACAGCAGAGACGAGTGGGGTAAGGGTGAAAACACCAACCTGATAATCATTATTCAGTCTGATGTTAATTTTTCTGGCTCTGAAACATGATGATGAAGAACAACCGTATCTGAGATCTGCAAAACAGCACAAACGGCAGAATGCTGGGCCCATTGCCAGGATAGGAGCAGCACGTCCAATGTGGCGGACGGCTAATGGGGGCATCTAAATGTTGTTTCAAGTGCAAATTATGAAATCAGTGCTCACTGGGAAACTGAATATGACACTGACACGTAGGCAGGTTATTACTCAGCTGGTGTTTTGCTCATCTTGACCAGATTCAGGGCCACAGCAGGAACAGAAGCCACTGGTCCAGGAGTCGACATCCCCCAAGCCCATGCAGAGCGCCACCCCACAGGCCCACGACTCCTCTGACTTCTCTGCATGGGACACCAAGACGGACAACCTGGTCGACTTGTGGGACAGCAGCCCCGCCCCTCCCACCAACCCTTCCCAGTCCTCCCATCTAGTGGACCTGATGGGTGACACTGATGTCCTTGGTGACAATGTTACGGCCAGTCCTGCCGCTGCCTGCGGCCTGCCTCAACCACTCGTCAGCTTCGATGACATGATTGACGGGACATTTTGCTCGGGCACCAGCGCTGAGGACAACCCCTCCAGTCTGGTCAACGTGATGGGCTCTGACCAGATGACGCTCAGCTACCAGCATGCTCTGCAGCTTGCGTCCGGCGAGGAGCAGGAGCTGGATGATGGACAGCTGCTGATGACCAATGGGGAGACGCTGCTGAAAGAAGGGACTCAGGTGAGACAGAGTAACTGTGCTGCTGTGCTGTTAAAACAGGGTTTCTGTCGTCCTCTGTTTTAATGCCTGTTTTCTTTCTCTTCCGGCCGGGTCGTTTAGGCGAGTGAGGGCTACTTCAGCCAATCACAGGAGGAAGAATTTGGCCAGTCAGAGGAGTCCTCAGCTAAACCTGCAGTGGTCTTTTATAACAAGCCACCAGGTGAGATGTTCTTGGTTTCCCTCCACAGGCAGCTCACCTACAAGACGGGGCTTCATCCCTTTTGTTCCATCTTCTTCCCCTAAGCTGAGAGACACCACGTCCAGTCCCACTGGCACTGGGGTTATCAGACACTTTGTTAATGCACCTATAACTTTGTTGTTGACATAATGTGCCTGTTATCTCTTCCATAGTCGTGATAAAAGCAACACAAATATAGATGTAACAGTTCTCTTTTATAGAAGAAATGAGCGCATGTGTGTTTGTGTTTCAGAGATTGACATTACGTGCTGGGACACGGACCCCGTGGTCGACGACGACGACTAACCGGCCAATCAGGCAGCACCGACAGACGAAGGGGAAGTAGGAAGTGCGCTTCGTGAAGATTTTTTCTAAAAAACAAAACACAAACAAAAAAACGTAATAATAATAAGTCTTGCATCAAAACTACTTCTGTATTATCTTTTAGAGGAAACCAGTAGCCACCGAAAACAAAGCCAGGTTCTTGTTACCGATGGGTTGGAAGGGTTTGTTTCTGTGTTTGTTTTATTTATGTTTCTTCTTTTCTTTTTTGATATGCAGATGTAATAGCTGGGAGCGCGGCACTTCTGTTCATGTAAACGATTTATTAAATGATACCGTAGCGCTGCTGCATATTAGAGACAATGATGCCCAGTGTGCGGCAGGCGGCCCACACACCTAGTCTGTAGTGCTTTAATAACACCCTATACAACTAACGCCGTGGCTCGGCACAGCTGCAATGTATACCCCCACTCTGTTACTTTTCATACCTCTTTTTCACCTCACTTCTTCCTTCTGCCTTCCTCCCACAGATATTCGCCCTGCAAGTCAGTTAATCTTGTATTTAGCCTTCGTGTTAATGGAAAAAAGGTGAAATACTTTATTTATTCTGGTGTATCTGGAATTCTTTGCCTAACAGTTCTGAAGAAATGTTCTCAAGATGAAATTTGTGAAACAAGTGTGGCTCCTTTTGACCTTTTCCACTCCTTTTGTATGATTTTAAGACTGAATTTGAGATTAAATGACTTGTAAATCTGGTTGGTTTTTCCAGTGCACTTTGATTTCTTCTTCTGTCTCCATGTGGATGAACAGCAGCTCCTCCGACAGCCTCCCCTCTGCTTCCGTAACCTTTTTACTCCAATTCTATATTTACAAGAGCAAAAATAGTTTTGTTTTGCATCGAATTGATAAAATGTAGATATTTTTGGGAGTATATTTTTAGCAGACTTTGGCTTTAAAGCAAAGAACAGGAAGCCAACTTCAGGTTGTGCACAGCAGAAAAAAAATCCTTTACATGATTCTTATTCTGGTGCAGACATTTCTCCAAAGAGTAAAAACAAGATGTTTTCAGCTGCCCCTTTGTGTCTGGATGGCACTCGCCACAACTCCTGTTGGAGAAGAGGAGGAGGATTTTAAAAAAAGTTTGTTTGTGGAAGTACGGCCTTACTGTCTCACAGGGGGACGGTAGGATGACACCACTGGAGCCAAACCTGGGCTGCATGATGCCTTGATGCCTGCACATATTTATATTCTTGTCACATTCCTCTGCATGGAGAACCCGATGTTGAGGATCTGTCACATCACAGCTGGTCTGACTCTGTGATCAAGACTCCTGGGCCTATTCCTGGTAGGCCCCTTCAGTCTTTAATTACTGGATGAAATGAAAGATTTGGTTGCAAAGGACTGTGATTACAGTTCAGAAATGTGCTTGATTTCTTGAACCAGTATTAAAGTTCACCAGTAATAAACTTGGACTTTCCTCTACATCACAGACAGTACAGTACTTGTCCCCTGTGTCTCAGAGAGAAGCATAGCACCGATCTGGCAGCTGTAGTTACTTTCAGATTCAGATTTTACACACAAGACACGATCGCTTCATAAAATATGATTTGTTATAGATTAAACCTGAGCAGTTTTTTTTGTCTACATTTCGCTTATACAAACATTTTCAAATCACGGCTTTTGCCTGACATGTAGTGTTCTTGCGGTGTGTTTTTGGTGGTTTTACATACAGGAGAGGTTCTTATAAAATGTCTTTCACTTTGTTTACACTCAACACAGATCAAGTATTGACAGAGGGACGTTACAGTGACCAGTAGCCCATCAAATGTACGAATACCCATGAAAGTGCGGTTCAGTATTAAGAAAAGGGGTCTGGCTTCTTTCAGCATGTCTGCGGCCACTATTGGTAGGACTGCACCACCAAAGGCAGAGCTTGTCATTTTTCCTCACTTTGTTTTGAAGGGTTTTGTGATCATAACCATGCTAATATACAGTAGTTAATATAGACATGGCCGAGCTGAGGAGCAAACACTGAAGTAGTTGATAGATTGGTGACCCTCCGGTCACGGTACGCACCGTACAGACAGGGGCTCAGTCTATTTAACTGCCTTTCCAAAGACGAGACATACCAGCAGATTTATAGCAGCTGGTTGAGGTATTTGGAGGTCTGACAGTGTTCCTGACACCTGGTTCTCCAAGCAGCTTGAAACAAATCGTTTTCTGCTCTGACCCACAACTGCTTTTGGTGAGAAAAAAAAAAAACCCCACATGTATATTATTTTTTACTGATGTGATGTTTAGTTGCTCTGGAAACTGGAGTGAGCGGTGGGGCGGTGTGTGTTTTTAACAAAAGGTGTGCTAAATTTTACTTTCAGGACCTTTTTGAATATTGGCAGCATCAGTGTGTCTTTTTGCTGTAAATTCCTGGAGAGAATAAAAACTAGGCAATAATATGCCTGTGTGCGTGTGTGGCACTTTAGGAGCTCAGCGGTGTTCACACCAGAGCCGGGCACATGGCACTGACACACACGGATGGGAAGAAGCAACACAACAAGGTCAGATCTGACTGAACCATCAGGACTGAGCGTCAGCCTTCGTCTTCATATATTCAGTCTTTGTTTTCCTGATCTCCACTCACCTTCCAGTTCACACCTCCACCACTAGATGGCACCACTGTATTTCCACTGCACTATCACTGTCTGACAGATGTTTGTCCTCTTCCCTCTGACATCTCTCTCTGATCTGAATAAATCATGAACAGTGCAGACGCAACTTTGCCTCTGAGTGTTTGTGACCATCTGTGAAGCATGCTTTCTTCTACTAATGTTTACAGTTGATTTCCCATGGTGCACTTTTCTCTAACACGGTTCAGACTGTGGGTTTTTGACAGGTCGGCCATAAATAAGTTTTTGTGCAGTGGAAAAAAAAATACTGTACTTTCATCTGAATATTTGTGCATAAAACTAAATTCACAAATCCGCAGTCCTCAAGTACAAATCAGTGTTATGAGTACAAATCTTCACTGGTGCACAGAAACCGTGTAGTTTAAATATGAAACTAATCAATAGAAACAAAAACAAATAGTTAAAGTACAAAGGAAGAAAAGGAAATAAAAAGCAGCGATAACTAAAACCAAACTCCTTAATAAATAATATAAATAATCATTCTCTGTACCTGCTCTGGTCCACTGTCACATAGACCTTCACTGGAGATGTCTTCACTGGGACTTTAGTCCCACTGACAATGTATGGAACCAGTCTGTTAGTGAAGGTGTGTATGTGTTGCTGTCAGGATCAGAGAACAGCTTCCCTCTGTTCCAGTCCAGATTCACTCTGATCCTCTGGGACGACTTCTGCACTGTGACAGATGTGAATAGACCTGGTGGTGACAATGCAAAGTATTCACCTTGCTCAAACCATATTCCATTCAATCTACAACAAAAAAGTCCCTTCCTCTGGACAGACTCTACCACGCCCAGTGTCCAGTATGTGTTATGGACACAACCTCAACATCCCAGCTGTGGGTCCCTGAGTTAAAGCCTTCAGAGCCCAAGACAGACAAGACATAATCAGTCCTCTATGGATTGTCAGGAAGCTGCTGTTTGTCTCCTTCCGGTGGGATCTTCAGAAAGGATAAGTTCCTGACCAACAGTGTTTAGATCCAGGACCACAGGAGTGTAGGAGACCTTGTCCTTCATGTGGTTCCAGATGTTGAAGGCCAGGTTGCCCAGGTGTTTGGCTTGGTTTGTCAGAGCTCCTGTGGGCAGCTGTGGATACTCCAGCAGGGGGCGCTGCTGGACTCTTTCCATTGCAGCCTTGTAGCTGTGTGGGAATGAGACGTCTTCAGCTCTCAGCTGCTCCTCTGTGGCTTTGACTGTGTCTGACAGAGCAGCTATCTCTCTACTCAGAGCCTCCATCTTCTCCTTCATTACCTGACTCTTCTGCTCCTCTTCCTCCTTCAGTGCAGCCATCCTGGTCTCCTCTTCTAGAAACTGGTGAAGCTTCTGAAACTGCTCCCTAATCTGCCTGTGTGTCAGGCCCTGCACCTTAATATGTTCTGCTGTAGGCAGCAGATTGTCATGGGGGGGTCAGTGTGTCTGAGAGGTACCATGTCCTGTCCCGCTGTCACCGGGTTTATCAATCAGTGAGGACAATGCTTTAAAAACTGACTTCCCGCTGTGATGGACTTTAAAAAAAAACTTTATTAAACCCCATGGGGAAATTTTGTGCTGATGGCAGTGCTGTCAGTTGCTGCCTGACCACCGGGCCAACTAGGGGTTCAGTGTTTTGCCCAAGGACACTTTGACACATGGGATTGGGGATGCCAGGAATCAAACCACCAACCTTCCAAGTGGGAGACAGCCACTCTACCTTCTAAGCCACAGCCGCCCTGTGGGTGTAACAACAGCTGGTCCAATGAGAGGCCAGCAGTGAGGGGAAAAGGAGGCTGCTGATGTGACAGAGCCTTGGAGGGGTGGGCTGAAGCTCTCACTTGTAAATAAAGGTGAGCATGTCGCTGGGCAACACTTACCTTGAAAGATGCCACCTCTAGCCTCGTTGTTGGAGGCTTGGGTCAGGTTTGACGGAGGAGAAATTTTTTATTTTATTTTTTTGTCAGCAAGTGCCAGTAGGAGTCACTGCTACTAAAATCCTGCACATCCACTGTTAAACTTGAATATGCATTATATGAAACTAGCCTCATTTACAGTTTATACCTTTTTTAAAACAGAAATTTAGATGCAATTATCTGTAACAACAAAACATGTACAGTGAATTACGTGTTCAAACTGCCATGGCTCTGTAAGAACTCAGGTTTTTCAGCCTTTGTTGCTGCCGTGTCTTGTGTAACATTAACGTACAAACTTGGAATGAACAATAACATTTGAAGACGTCAATGCGGAGATGAAAAGCGTCAGCTCACTCGTTTACTCAGGCTCACCTGTAGCTGCTCTCTGCTTAGAACCACAGGCTGAATCATCATCATCATCATCATCAAGGTGTTTATCTCCGTGGTGAACTGCTTGACTAACACTGAGATGCTCATACTCTGTTGCACAATCAGTTCTCTCAAGGCCAAGAAATATTATTCCGGATGTGTGAGCTCGTAATGTTGGATCATCTGTGACTCATCAGCCTGATGGTAATCATGCAGTACAAAATAAAACAATGACAGTATGATTGGCACATTACTGCAGCGTCTGTCTTTTTATGTACTTGGCAGATTGGTTCGTCCCCCTAATGTCTGAGAACACAATGCAACTTGAACTGTGTCCCCAGTCTCTCTAACTACCAATATAATAAGTGTGATTGGACTCAACAGTGCAGAACTGTCTCATAGTTTAGGAGCAGATGTGATGGTGAGTCTGCAGCCCAGTATTCCCTTCTAGCTTCTCTTCTAGAATAAGTGCTGACAATTTAATGACAGAGTAATTTTGTTTTGAGCATATGTTTACATTATACAAAAGTCAAATAACTTGTATCCCTTCAAACAGCAAAGAAATGTTGAGCCTTTTAGTCAAGCTTTTGATTTTTCACTAAACATTTGGAAGGCACCACTTCAAAAATCCCCGACTGAGACACATTTAAATTTAATCAGAAATCAGATGCGTCAGGCAGAAGGGGAATCGTGCTTGTTTCAGATGCCATTTTGAAAATTGAGACCTTTTGCAGCAGTTTGCTTTGGGTACTTGCAGATTATATGAGTTCAGAGCTTGATTTCTCCTCACTTCCATTGCATCAGTTGTTTCTGGGGGCGCCTGACTCGTCTACCTCTGAGGGGCAGGCTGAGACTGAAGGCAAATAAGTGAGTTGCTTTACTGAACACAGAAGCAGAAACCGATCGTGAGACATGGGAACCTCAGGAGTGGCAGTTACATGGCTTTGTCAAAGTGACAGATTCCACTTCCTTGTTCCTCAGTGCTGTGTCGGACACCAGTGAAATGGCACAATAAGAGCATGTGCTAAGTCTGGAAGATAGGAGCGAGAGACTGACAAAGCAACATTTTAAGGAGAATGGGGCAGAAATAAAGCGGGGAGTAGAAAAGAATCAGCACAACAGGATGGAAATCAAAACAAAGTGAGCCTACAGAGCGTAAGAATGACTCAGAGGCTAAATGAGGGAGTCAAAGAGAAACTGAAATTAAAGGCTTCCCTGATTGGCAGATACATTCAGAGTAAATTTGTAGCTGAGAGAAGAAAAATAACGTAATAATCCGCTGAATAATTTATCTGAAAACTTCAGAGGTTAGTGGGATAGAAGTAAGATGAAGAAAAAACAAGATGCAGAGTTGGAAGAGAAACTAGTTTTGCTCTGACCACAGATGCTGCTGTAATGTGCTTTGTGTAACGTCAGTGCTTTGTGTCACATCGGCAGGATGTGATGGGAGGGGCAGAGAGCGGTTAGGAGCGGCTGATGGCGGCGGTTTGCTTTGAGTCTCACTGGAGCCCCTGGGCTGAAACAACAGTAGGAAGAGCAGGTTTAAAATTGATAGTGTTTGAATAGACATGGATTTTACCTGATGAGGCTCTGAGGTCTGAAACATCATCAGTAAAGGGTGATGAATCTTTATAACACCTGACCCATGTGCCATCTACCGTGCCCCATGTGCCTTAATAAATGTTAAAATAAGGGCGATCTACTCCAAAAGGAAGCCAAGGACAGTCGAATAGACCACAGGGAAATTATGTACTCATAAAAGTAAAAAGAACATCAGTACTTGCAGCAAAATGCTGCTCTGCCAAAAAACAATGAAGAGCCGGTTTTTGGAAGAATTTTAAATCTGTATTGTTTACAGGTGTATTTGCCTGCTAGCAGTTGTCTCTTCTACTACTTCTTGCCTTTGTTGGCACATTTCTGCATTGCTTGGCATGTTGCCACCAACAACCGTCAGTGTGAAAGGATCCCTGGTAGTGTGATGTTGTCATGTGTGTCCTTGTGCGCTTGCAAGATTAAAAAAAAAAAAACACCCACAAATAAACGGCTACATAGCACTACTAGTACTACAGCCATGGTCAAACAAAGAAGCAATGTTTTTGTTGTTGTCACATTCATCATCTGCGCTGACTATAAGATACCATGTGATCAGAGCTGACAGTCAGCCTGCCTGGTTCCACCTGGTTCTAACGTGATGATTTGGACCCAGCCTGACTTAGGTCTAGGGACAGGCATCAGTCACTAGCAGCTGAATGAACATGTGAAACCTTTGCTCCTGATAACACACTCAAAAGCATAATCAGGACAATTAGACAAGAAACAACAAACCAGTGGCACAAACAGGCAATTAAGAAGTAAACATGGAACAGCTGCAAAAAATAAAAGGTAAAAATATACACTGCTCAAAAAAATTAAGGGAACATTTGATCATCACAGTGTGACACCAAACCAGGTAAACTTCAGGGATATCAATCTGTCCTTTTTAGGAAGCACAAATGACTGTGAATCTGTTTGGTGCAAATGAAAGTGACAACAGGTGCAACGAAGAGGCAAAAGAAGAGGCTTTGCATGTGGTGGCCACAGACAGAGGCTCTCTCCTTATCCTTCCTGAAAGATTCTCCTCAGTTTTCTGTTTTGCTAGTGTCCTTGTCACTACTGGGAACACGAGGCAGTACCTGCAGCCCAGTCAGGTTGCACAGGGAGTCCAGTTACTCCAGGATGGCACATCCATATGTGGAGTCGCAAGAAGGTTTGCTGTGTCTACCAGCACAGTCTCAGGAGCATGGAGGAGCCACCAGGAGACAGCTGTTACACCAGGAGAGCTGCACAGGGCTGTAGAAGGACAAAAACCCAGCAGCAGGACTGGTATCTGCTCCTTTGAGCAAGAAGGAACACTGTGAGAGCCCTACAACATGACCTCCAGCAGCTACTGGTGTGCATGTTTCTGACCACATTGTCAGAAACAGACCCCATGAGGGCCTGACATCCTCTAGTATGACCTGTGCTCACAGCCCAGTACCGTGTAGCTCAACTGGCATTCACCACAGAACACCAGAATTGGCAGGTTGTCCTCGTAGATGAGAGCAGGTTCACCCTGAGCACATGCAACAAGGGTGAAAGAGCGTGGAGATGCCGTGATGAACGTTACGCTGCCGATAACACAATCAAGGTTTGGTGGTGGGTCAGTGATGACCTGGGGAATCAGATCCTTGGAGGGCGGCACAGACCTCCATGTTGTAGCCAACGGTGTCCTGACTGCTGTGAGGGACCGGGATGAAAACCTCAGAGCAAGTGTCAGATCTTAAAATGGTGCAGAGAGCCCTGGGTTTGTCCTGGTGCAGGACAGTGGTCTCATGTGGCCCAGAGTGTGTAGGCGGTTCCTGGATGACGAAGGCATAGATGCCACTGACTGGCCCTTACGTTCCCCTGACCTAAATCCAACTGAGCACCTATGGAACATTATGTATCGGTGCATCTGACACCACCATAGGCACACAGGGGCCATACACACTTCTGAATCACATTCTGAGTTGCCGTGATGAAATTTCACATAACTTCCAATGTGTGATTTAAGTCTTCCCTTCATTTTTTGTGAGCAGTGTATTTGGCACTGTAAGAAAGAATATTTCCTTTGAATCTTAAGGCAAATAAATGAATGGCTTTAATTTTAATTTCAAGCAGCTCCAGAGAGGGGTGGGAAACAGTACGACTCCTCGCAGTGAGCATAAAAACATGACTTTTTACATCAAACAGTTTTTTCCCATTTCGACCTTTTTTACTCCATAAATTACTGGAAGAGGTTTTGCAGATGTTATTTATTTCACAAGAAAAAAAATCTGTCATAAAGCTTAAAAGTGATGAACTTAGTGAAAAATGAGGTTTTTCACATTAATGGCCCAGCTAACGCCACCCTGTGAACGTCCAGCTTCAAACATCAGCGGTGAAAGACAACACTGAAAATAAAAGCAGACTGCAGTCTAAATACATTTGGTTCTCCATCTAGCTTGTTGTGCTCTAGACCTTTACAACTGTTTTGAGTGTCGGTGTGAAAACAGGCCATGTGGTGACCTCCGATGGCAAAGTGTCACCAAACCACGTGTTCATTTCCAAGTGTTAATACTCCATCCTTGAGAAACAGCAAGCTGTGAACAGCCTTCAGAGATCGGAGCAGATAAAAGAGGACAGATCGTCATTGGTAACAGGCAGTTCCCGGGAGCCATGGCAACAGCAGACTGGTACAGGTTAGGTTTTTCTGGAGCAGAAAGAGGAGAGGTGGGATGAACAGAAGGAGAGGGTGACAGGAAAAGTGAAGACAGAGGTGAAAATAAAGTCAGAGGGGGGGTCTGGATGAAAGGTATAGAAACAGCTGTGCTCTTCCTCTACCTTATTTTATCTCCTTGTCCTCCGCTGTTCTAAAGGACCTTGACTCGGTGAGCTTACATATGACTTCAGGATCCCTCAGTGATTCAACAACACGGTTTTGAAGCAGTGTAATTTTGTTCTTTACTGACACATGGAGCTCAAACCACAATCCCAGCAGAGTAAGTGGCGCCCTGCGCCCACAGAACTGTACAGGGAACTGAGCTCCTGAGGCCTTCGGCACTTTAACCCACATCTGGCTCTTTAGGGACTTCACTCTTTATTTAGTGGTGTCAGTGCTGTAAACATTGAACAGCAAAGCAGGCCCACAAACGGGATGTCTGTCTTTAAAGATCTCTTCAGGGACGGACCAACCTGTGGACTGGTCAGTAAATACCCAATTTTAGACAGCAGTGCTCCGACCCAAAAGGGGGAAGGCTGTTGGCAAGCCACAGCTGGGTTCCAGGCCCCTGAGTCCATGACGCCCCTGAAACCCATGAATAGCCCCTTGACGTCCCTGCATCCCCCCCTGTAGTGCCTCTATTCCACTTTGGACCCCAAGTGCATCATGGTGTGTCCTGGGTTCTCGACGGGGCATGGTAGCCATGATAGCAGCAGCCTGGAGGGAGCGGGCTGTCGGTGGGGTTAGGCTGTTGTGGTTCAGGTCCATGTTAGACAGGAGGTGGCCCAGGGAGTCCCAGCGCTGGGATGAAGGCAGGCGTATCAGGGAGGAGTAACCCCGATCAGGAAACACAGTCACCGCGGGAGCCTTGCTGGTCTCGAACACTGGAGCAGGATCCTGGTGATCCCTGAGAGGCAGTGGCGCTGCTCGAAATGGGGCGGGTTTCAGGTAGGTGCCACCCCGTGGGTCAGCCAAGACCTCGCTGTAGGGTGGAGGAGGATCCTCCATCAGGACTGCGTCCTCGTAGCAGGGCGGCTTCCCAAATATGTCTGTGTCTGGAAAAAAAGTCAGAAATTAATCACTAGATTCACCTGACTTTTTGTGATTGTACCATAGCTTAAGTCCAAGTGCAACTAAAATATCATGAGCTCAAAATACATTTTCTGTAGTATGCACACTACAGAGGGGCGCCTACAATTTATTGTATATTTCCTCTCACATTTTAACTATGCAGGTGAAAGGACACCATCGTGCTGTTTACAACACAGATATGATGCTGCCCGATGCTCAGACTTACAGCCATTGGACATTATGAGCATGCACCACAAACACACACACTTCATTTTCAGGTTGCAACCCACACAGGTGTAATTAGCACCTGCTGGCTGTGAAACATGCGACAATGTGTTCAGCTGTGGCGAAACATCACATCACGGCACATCAGGCCTGAATTCTCACTTCCTCTTTCATCTCGTTTTTCTTCTCTCACCCGTTTTTGTATCACACTCCTATTCCAGGCTCACTTGTTTTCTATAATTCTGCCTCATGAAGACTTCATCATCTCTAGTAGAGGAACTGCACTGCAGCATGTTGTGCAGGATGAATGTGAAATACATCGTTACATTTATTCATTCCAGTGTTTTGAGCTCAGGCAGGAGAGATGGTTCATTTGGATTCTTAGTCACATGTCAAATGTGGTAGTGTATGCAGTCAGTTTTATGTGTCCAGATTCTGTTAATGGAACAGCTGCCAAGTAGCTTCAGCTACAGGCACCCTAGCGCCATTTATCTGTATGTAACGGTGTTTATCTGCATGCCCCCTGTTAAGGAACCAGGTCCCACCATTTCAGCTAGTTTCTCACTTAATGTTCCTGTGTAGTGCACGTGTCATGTAGTAACACCAGGTTTTTAGCTAACAAGCATATAATCAAAATGTCTATAGATGTAAAAAATTACGTTCATGAGAAATACAACACATTATGATGAGTCATAAGAGTCTAACCTGTCCATTTCCTGCTCATTACCCTTCTTATGAACAGTGGTGACTGACTGAGGGAGTGATTTCTGACACAGTAATGGTGTAGATCTAGACTCCACTCGGGTTGTGGTTTCACATGATCAGGCTAATTGTTCTCATTCAAATGGACCTGGATTTATTTTTAGCTGATTTAAAGGTGACACAGCTGCACAAAGGTAACACAATACACTTGTTACAGCATCTTGGTGCTTAAAGGTACGGAAGAGTTTCCACACTGTCTGATAAACCCAGTGACAGGGGGCCAGGACGTGGTGTCTCTTAGTGATATCTGCACTGTTGCACAACATCAGCAGAGTCTCCTCAGCCTGTCGGTAATATTTAGCACACAGATGTTCACAGACTCCCTGCTCGTTGTCTGCTAATTGGACCATTCACACCTGCTGCTGTTTCCACTGAAGGACTCAGTTCTCTGAGCAGCTCTGCATTTGCAACCAATCAAAAAAAAAAAAAAAAACAAAGTTGT